AATTCGTGACCAGGTCTTTCCTAAACAGAAAGACCTCGTACTCGGTCGATATCCTATACTTACACACCTCCTCTATTGTGACAAGTCTATATTTTTCGGATAGACCTGTATTAACAAAAAAGAATCCGTTATGAGGTCTATCTTTTGCACGTGCACATGTATGTTCTAGTCAGACAGACCCGGTCATGAAAAACACGTGAAAATATAGACCTGCCTATGCGTAGCCAAAAAAAACAAGAAATGCAATCAAAAATTGAAAATGAAAATAAAATGTAAATAAATGATTGTTATAATATTCCTGTCTTACAAAATCTGGATACATTCTTTTAAACAAGATAATGTTTATTGCATGCACTTAGAAATTATTCCAACATCCCTATATAAAATAAATGGATAGCATATGAAAGTTAGGACACATTTAACATTTTTCCAATCGCGTCATTTTTCAAAGTAATAGTAATCTAAGCGCTTCTTTTGTCATTAAGTTCACAATATAACAAAAATAAATGCTTTAAGTTTTCTTACATTTCAATGAAAATATAACAGTTATCACCGCACACTAATCACGATTCTAAATCACATCCATAAAAAATCATAGTAAATAAAAATTGTACCAAACATTCATATCGAAAAAATATAACAAAAATATGTCCGTTTCATTTGTGATTCAAATAAAGTCCATTTGATATACGCTTTGCCTGGGAAACCGCAGCTACCCACAGTTCATAGCAAAGTCCCTGGTAACAGTCCCACCCTCGGGATCAATCAGATTGTTAAATCCCCGTAACCCCCCCTTTTTAGTTAGGCATTATCCTGCCTTTCTATTCAACCCGCGAAAAATCAAAACTGATTTTCCCTGAAAACCTTCGAATCAAGAGCTTAGGTCAAAAGAACGTTAAAGATATAATCCAAACCTTGCTTATAGTGACATGCAGATACAAGTACTTAAAGTGGATTGGTCTACAATGGACACATCTCCCATTAGTTATTTAAATATCGACAAAAACGATTAGGATATTATAAAAAGAAGTCTTGAAAAAGAAATGTTTATATGAAGTATAAGTGATTTAGTATAAACATTTATATGATGAGCGATCATTTTTATTCTAGAACACTTTATAATCTGCTATATAAAATATAATTTCGGATCATGTATCTTACACTTGTCATGCAACAATATACATCTGTAAGTATTTCGTGGTCTGCTGGGTATTCGGACATTTGCCCTTCAGACATTTGTCCCCCGGAGTTTTCTCCCTTTTTGCAGTGGCGGACATTTGCCCCCTCATATCTGTTGAAAGGTTGGACATTTGCCATCCCCCCATGTTTTAAAAATGTTAAAAAATATAATTGTTGAATTGTTTGTTGTAAAAATTAAAATTCATCGCCTACTGTCGAAATTCCATTCTGCTTCAATAAACAAAAACTCTCGCACAAATTTGTGAAAACAAATTAACATCCATAAATAAAAAAAATACATAAAATATATACACGAGATGACCTCTGACAAGTTACAAGTCGCCACAGCAAAAAAGGGGCAACTGTTCGGGGGGGGGGGGGGGGCAAATGTCCTAGATTCATTCTTTTACATAAATTCAATTACAGACCTATTCACTATATTTTTATTATTGACAAATTGCACATTTAGTTCAAAGTTCAATGCAAAATATATACTATATTTTAGCAGAACGTTGATAATAACTAACCTATTAATGCGTTGTGTTAAAAAATCATCTTTGTGCATTACATCAAATGTTTCGGATCCGCTATTGCTCAAGCCATTAGTTAGACGGTGTGTAAGTTAGATATCGGCCTCGTACATCGATCTTTCTGTTTAGGAAAGACCTGGTCACGAATTTCACGAAACACCTCGAGCGCTACGCGCCATGAAATTCGTGACCAGGTCTTTCCTAAACAGAACGACCTCGTACTCGGTCGATATCCTATACATGACATTTCTCAGTCTTCTGCTAAATTAGCTAAACTGATACTTTATGATCAAACGGTGAATACTTCCAGATGCTTTGAAGCATTTTATATCCGCCTTTTGAATATTTAAACTAATCATTCGTTGATAATCATCTATTAATTAATTTATCTTACTTAACACATTTTACGCGAAGTTACCTGGCTTTACACAACGATTACACTATCTTTTGGGTATAACGCGGTTTCGTTGCAGTGATTTACTTCAGGCTGCACAAATGCAATACAAATAAACTCTGTTTCTTTTAAAAACAATATAAAATGGTGTTAATAGTGTTCAAAAATCAAATAACTATTAAAAAGTGTAGATTATTAAATTAATTTCAGCCACCCAATATCCTAAAATGGAACATTCCCACACAAGAATTTATAGTCCTTTTCAAAAAATAAATAAATGGAGTAACACATTATCACTATTGTCAACCCCGTTAAGCAAACAATCTGTCTTGTGACCTCACAAGGTATTTTTGATTGTATTATTCGCTGTATGCTCACATGCTTGTTATCATGGCTTGAGTTTAATAAAGTTTATGTTGTTGCTGTTGTCTAAATGAGGTATCAGTACGCTTTGGGGTGCTCTTAATGAGGTAAAAGTACACTTTCTCGAGCATGCCCCGTATATTATCTTATTTCAAATTATAAAGTGAGTATACCTGAAAAAGAGCAAAACAAAACATTACACAGTCGAAATAACTTTTTTTTTCTTAATATTTAGATATCATCTCAATCTTTTGTTTTCAAAACTTGAAAATGCAGTTATTATAAAGATGTTGACTCATGTGGAAAATAATCGCCGTTTTCTGCATCCTGACCTCGAGGACAAATCTGAAACAATGATCAAATTATTCATTTTTTATGCTTTAAACAATGCCTCCATTTTAAAGGAGGTTATGACCAGTAAGTCACTCAGTGAATCACTACACGAATGAACATAATACTCTAGCGTAAATATCAATAAATGGAAGAAGTGTTAAGAAAAAAAAATCACTAGATTTCTACATTGTCGTTAGTTATAAAAATTACGCGTAGAATATATACCTCTGAAATATACACCGGAATTCTTACCAACAATATTTCCTAGATTATATTTTGAAAATGAGCTGGAAGGGTGATTGATATTTCGCATTCAGAAAAAATGCATCAACATACCTCGTCAAATGGTTATTTATGCCCTGTTCATTCAACGGCATCTAATGTGTGTATTTCTGTGGGTATTTCTTAAAATATTTATATGTTTCAATAAAGCAAATATTACGAGAGAGCGTAAATCTCCAAGAATAAATATCCAAGAAAAAAGTCGTGATTGTCATTCGATAAAACAGGTACAGATTCAGAATAAATACTCGGACTTCACCCGTTGGTATCAGCGCAAGGGGCGACAAAAGGGATAACCATGGAAATTGATCTCGACGTTCCATGTCGATTAATTTCCTATGATTGACCCTTGTTGTCGCCCCATGCGCTGATACCAGCCGGTAAAGTCCTCGTATTTATTCTATAACTATAACTTACATGCTTTTAGTGATTTTAAGTAATTTTCACTTTCTTTGATGCGTGGCGTTATGCGTTCTTCTTCATGACGTCATCACATCATGACGTCACCGTACCAATATTGAAATGTAGGTCTGTAAATTTCTCGAATTTTGTAACATTTTAACACAATGTATGCAGTTACTTAATTTATACTCCTAAAGAGGCACAATTTACATACGACGAATTTATTTCTGTTATGAAATATAATTTTCATCTGCAATCTAATATAGGTCTAGTCCGGCTGCAGTGAAAATTATCAAACACAATTCACTGTGAAAATTATCAGTTTTAATTTTTCTTTCAACTGCAAAGCATGTAAAAATATTTGTACATTTTTTTATTGAGATACCCTAGCATTTGTTTATTATCAAGATACAAAGGCTTTACGGGTTTTAGATTGGTGATTAAATATATGTTCATATACCCGTATTATCTTTATAGAGCAATATATATATTCAAATGCATAGTATACTTGTTCGATGTAGCAAATTATTTTATTTCATAAATACTAAATAAATAAGTTTGAAAACTACCCGGCCCTCACATGTAGAAAGTGTAACAACGTAATGGTTGTCTTATTATTTACGAACAAGTCACATTTCCGATTAATGTAATCTCACTGGCAAGAATTTGGATTTTTTTTCTTATAAAAAGAAACTGATATCATGGTACTTAATGTATTACTAAACGATTCTTGCTATTTTTTAACATTACATATCACTTTTACAAGCAACGATTTATAAGTATGCTTCGATTTTTTATTATTTTTTTATTTATTTATCTCCTTTTGATTTGATGTGAAGATTCAATTGTTTGTCAAATCGGTGTACTGGTTAAAACTATGACATGTATTTACTTTAAATTCATTTCATAGTAAATTTAACTTTATTTACTTTATCCACGTTACTCTTTAGATGATATCTTTTAAATTCTTTAAACATTTACAAATTAGGTTTTACTTTATTAAATTAACAAGCTTCGTACACTTCATACACTCGGAGGCAATTAAACAAGTCATAATATTGATCCGTGTACTATATGTAAGTTCTTTATCGAGACGAGACGATATCTTTGAACAGTTCATTCGTGTGTTACGATTTTCAAACTAAATGCTGCATTTAAATATGTTTACATCCACCAGCATTCGATTTAAATGGAAAATTCATTTGAAGTTCTCTGAACTGTAAATATTTATCAAATCTTTTAATAGATTTGTTTAAATTTTTTAAAAAAAGTATTGTTGATAGCGTAGACAGCTTCATAATTGATACACGAAATGTTTTGTAAAAATGAGGCAAAAAATCATGTTATACTACATATAACTTATTTTGTAAGAAATGTATAAAAAAAGCGATATTGACACACGAAGTGCAAAGAGCCATAAAGCACGCGAACAAAAAGTAAATTTCAAGATTGTTGACATAATTTTTTTTGTTATAGTAAGAAGAGGTCAAGTAGCTTTAATACATGTTACCCACACTTTAATTGTAATATAGCGACTTCCTTCCACTCTGCATCAAATGCGCCATTGTTTACTTGTGCAGATGGTAACGGACCTTTCGTTAGGTAGCTAGAAAGCTTAAAGCATACAATAATCCAAAGTCAATAAAATGGACCAAAATGAGCTGCTCTTAACAATGGCCACAAAGGCCCAACATTGAGTTAACTCTGTGAGAAGGTTTTAAAAGCTAGTAAAACATATCAAATCAGTTTTCCAGCTGAAATAAATATATAATGCCTTACATTACTAGTTTACCAATAAATGATCAATTCTTAAAGTAGAAGGCAACATGAAAATGAAAAGAAATTGTTTTATGAAATTTATTTTTCAGGGTATCGGTAGTAGCATCAAGTTGAGAGGGTTTGGAGACATTTCAAGCAGCTCCATCAGAACAGCTGTATAACTTTTATTTCTTCACTTTATTAGCAATTATTTTATCCATTAGTATGATTTTGTTCAGGATTATTACTACATCAATATGAAATAATTATATGTTTTCGATTATGTCATAGTTCAAATGAAATTAAATTTAAAAAAATGTAGATAAAGCTTTTTTAAAAAAAGATAACGAAAATGAACATGATAATAAAGTTCAAAATTAAAATCGACTCATTTTTCTATGTATGTTATTATGTATGGTAGAATAGGTACGTTTATGTAGGTTGTAATAAGGTAGCGTAGAGTAGAGCTGAGTAAGATACAGTAGGAAGGAATAATTCCAAAAAATGAACATTTGTGAGTACAAAACATTTCATTTCTTCACAAAAGGCTGATGGTGAAAGTCATGTTGGTTCACAAGCAAGCATTTGTAATGTTGGTCCACAAGTCAATATCATCCATTATGCTGATGAAAATGTAATTGATGTTGACTGTAAAGATGTATCGTCGGACAGTACGATGTAAGTCATTCGTTTTACTATATCTGTGTTATTTGTTTTTTAACGACGCTTGATGGACGTATAAATTATAGGTTAATTTTAAATTCTAGCAAATTCCTCCTTTAAATATAAATCAGACAAATTAAGTATAATAAAATAGTCTAGGTGGTTAAGTATCCTTTGTAATCAATGAACTAACCCATCTACATGATCTATACACCAAAACATTAGATTAAGAAGAAAGAAAGTGAATGAGACAATAAATATACCTATACATTACATTGTCTGGGTTAGTTACCTTAACGTTTGTCTAAGGTAATATATACTTAAACTATACACTTGTTAGTCAATTCCCACGTATTTAACGCACGTAAACATTGATTCATGTTATTTGGAGGGCTTAAACTTTTGAAAAGGGGTGTTATTTACTTAATTAGAGATGCCTGTACATTAAAGATGGAATGCAAGTTAGATAAATATCGTTTTGCTATGAGGTAAAATCCGGGAAAGGATACTACATTTTGTATTTCCTTGAGCAAGAAACTTTACACTAATTGCGTAGAACTGGTTGGTTTTAGGGTAAGATTTGAATGTGTTTATAAGTTTATAGCCTCCAAAACATTCGGATGGAAACAATATATGTAGAATCTAAACTAGTTCAAAATTGACATAAACTTATTAATGTGAAGCACATTCTTCTACTTAACACTTTTTATAACCAGAAACTGCTTTAATTTTATCATTTCATAATCCTGTGTACAGAAGCAAAATGACATATTGACGTACTTACCCTTTCATTTTATACTAACAGTTGTTTCAAAGTGCCGCAAATTTAAACAATCAAAATAGCATTAATTTATTAATAAAGCAGATCAAAAAGTGATTGCAATAAGAGTTTCTTTAAATTCCTTTAAAGGACTGTTCAGATTTCTAACGAACGGCTTACAGACGCAGATTTAGTCACACCACATACAAATATGAAGCTCCAATCAAATTCTGAAGACCCAAAGGGTTACAGTAAATGCAAACCACCAGGTATATCTTGAGTTCACCGAAGAGCTATATGCATTTTTTAATGCTGGTGTATTTTTTCTCAACTCACAATTTCGTGTTTTAGTAATAGCTTTCTTATTAGTTTTCGAAATTTCTATCATCTTACCTCTCATTTTATGACGTTGTATGTGATTTATATAAAAATGACTTATTTATAGCATTTTACATCTGTAAGATTGTAATAAAATGTGCGCAAATGTTTAATGTGTGAACTCATGTAGATTTCTAACCATCCTTAGTTAAAAATCTGCTGAAATTTATTTTATTTAATGCAATTTTATTGTGTTGCATTGTAATTATTTATACTTTTATAGTTTCATTATTTAGTATGTAAATCACAAGTACTTAAATAACGTAACTAAATCATGAAATGAAACTGTTTAGATGCAGAAACCAAACTTTGTGAAAAACACGCAGACGACTCAACATCTACATTAACTAAAGAATTCAATAGTTACAATTTAAATAAAGAAGAACAAAGAACAATAACAAATTACAATAACACGAATACTCACACATGGAAAATAGGTAAGTATATTATTGTTGAATATTTTACGGTATATAATGATATATATGAGGATAAAACGTTCTTAACAACATTTCACGTACAATAAAAATGACCAGATAATTTATATCAAAAAGAAATTCATCATAATTAAATTTAAATGTAATCCTTATACTGTCTAGCATGTTAAATTTATTCATGGTCGTGCATTATTTATGAATAACAAATCAATTTTAAAGTTCTTTCTATTACAAAAAATAAATAGCAAAATTATTGAAATCAATAAAAGAAAAATACAAAACAATACATAATCAAACATGACTTCTGCATAAGTTCCGTCAGACACAAATTACTTGTTGATAACTTAATACAAATAAATGTACGTGGTCATAATATCAGAGTCAAGAATGCATGGTTGATCTTTTGCAACCTTCTTTGCATGTATCAGAAATCATTTGCATCTTGCATGGAACTCTGCCCCGATGCGTCTGTTGACGAGTGGTTAAGTCGTTGACTTCAAACTACGTGCCCCTCGCCGCTGTAGGTTCGAAACCGGACAGAAACATTGAATTATTTCATGTGAGGAAGTTATGCAGCTAGCTTACGATACGTCTGTGGTTCTACACAGATAACCGTTCGTGCCTGAAATGATGCATGGAAGGGCGCCTGAGGTCTTTCTCCACCAGTTAAGCTGGAACGTCGCCATATGACATTTTCTTTGTTGGTGTGACGTAAAACCCGATTATACAAACAAACAATAACCCGGGACCCTGGTCTACCGTTCTCCGAATCAACCGACCAAACTATCTCTTATGAGTAAAGAGTACTATACCGTGACATATTATCCCGCTATACTGAATTCCGTCTATTGCAGAAAGAAATATAAATTATAACGCCCCCACCAAGTTGGTTGTCAAGTATCTGATAGTAAAACAAATGTCGAGCCTGACCAAATATTGAGCTCGGACTACCATTCCACGCCTATATAGTCTCAGCTATTCAATCGCTTACACATTTACTCCCCTCAATAGTGAAACTTTCTATACCGTGACATATTCTCCGCTACATCTTATTTGTCTTTAAACTATTCTATATCGTGCATATACCATGTCGTATAAGATATATTTTATATTAATTTCATGTTGTTAATTAACATATCTCATTAAAATCAAATTAACAGATATTTGACTTGATAATTGGAATAAATATGAAATGTAATTAAAATGAGTGCTCATATTATTATACGAAATCTTACATACCAATTGTTGTTTTTATTGTTCTAGATCCGTCTGCATGGGAGAGATGTCTTGGGGAACAATTCAATGAAGCTACAGTCATGAGGATGTTAAAAGATAAACTGCTGCCAAACGAAAAAATCCTTTTCGAAATATACAAAACAGTCACAGCTTCATCAAATATTCTTCGCGCGATCTTCCGCAATATATGCGACTATGTAAAGCAACAATCATCTTCGATTTTACATGTGTGGCCGGCGTATAGATCGAGTCAGGACAAACAAAAAGCCTTGGTTTTTGTTATACACACAAGTAAAATTATCAAAATCGAATGTGAATTCGAGACATACCAGCGATGTGAGGATGATTTATCAGATACGCATATTTTAGAAAATGAAGAAATATACAAATTCCAACAAACACACGCATGCAAATTACTAGAAATGGAAAATGTCAAGTCATTTGTCAAAGAAAATGCTAAGGCCTTAATGCAAATGCACAGCAATATTACAAAAATTACAACAAGTAGGGTAAAATCTTCAGGGTTCCAAACGGAGACATCTCGCATGGAAAACATTCCTTGCGTAGCATTATATGTTCAAATTAAGGGTTTGATTCCATTTCAAGAAAAATCATTCGACAAAACTGTCGCTGGATACCCTTTCGATGTAAGAGAAGGCGTGTTCTGTCTTTGTGGTAAACCTAGTGACTTACATCAAAAGGTTAAAATGGGATGCGAAATGGATAGCGGATATGGTACCAAACAAGGAACGATAGGGCCTTTTGTCCAGTTACAAAATCATACGGAAACGTATTTCCTAACAAGTGCGCATGTTGCTCTTGACATAAGGCAAATGGAGGCGTTAACGAAAAGTCGTCATGATTACATATACTACGGTTTCGCTGGTAACAATACTTTCCAACCACCTGAATCAAAAACAGTAGGCAATTCAAGCATTAGACATCCCCTTGGCAAGATTAAAATGGCCGTCTATAAAGAAGGTAACAAAAATGAAGCTGGAATGGAGTTGGCATTGGTGCAGATCAATAAAGATCGAGAGCCGGATGATGGCTATTTTCCAGATGATATCTTCCCTCCGCTTACAGGTATAGAACCTTGTGTTCATGTTTGTAAAGATCACCCAAATATATATGTATTATCTTGTTTTGACACATAATACCGTTTTCATTCCAAAGTTAAAAGTTAAAATATAAAAAAATGGTTACGTCTTAATATGTTAATGAAGAGTAATATCGTTTTAGATTATTATCTATCTTTTAAAAATTTATGAATGCAAATTTCTTTTTACTTATAATTTCTGAAACTGCATCAAATATATGCCTTATAGGAAAGGAACTGATAAAGAAACACTTTTTGCTATTTGTATCTCTATTTAATTTTTCATTCTTGTTATATTTATGCGTATTGATTGCTATTGTATTAAAGAACATTAATAATAAACTGAAATTCTTCAGGTTACCGTTTCCATTTCTCTTCTGGGAGAATTCTCGAAAAGACACAGCTAGAGAAGAAAATGTTGTTTTTGTACAAATTTGGTTGTTCTAGCGGTTTAACTGAAGGACGATATGTTGATCACTGTACATCAGTTAGAACAAATAAACTTGAAGAAAGAGGAAAAGGTGTAGATATTACTTTGTTTAACCAAATTCAAATCGAAAATAGTCTTAACTCAAACCCGTTTGCAACGCAAGGGGATTCTGGCTCTCTTGTTTTTGCCTTTGATGGTAGAGATACACGAGCAGTGGGCATATTTGAAGGTAAAATGGATCATTATTATATGGCTACCCCCATCGAAGATGCTGTTAGTGTTATCAGTAAAGGCTTATCACAATTTAAAGGTCAACAAAGGTCATCCGGAGAAGAAATGGAAGTTGAAATGAATCATGGTCAATTAACAATGATTCAAATGCCGTTTGTGCCCCAGTGTGATCCCGAGAGCTTCGTTGATCAATCTGCGGTGGATAAATTAGAACAGAAAACGTTTGATTTAGAGAAAAACATAGTCCACCATGTTGAGCATTCTTTGGATACCGTAAAAGAGGAGATAACATCTTTGAAAGTCAATATTGAACAATCAAATACGCAGATGCGGGAGTATTTTGATGAAAAGTTTAAAACTTTAGAAAATCTTTTGTCAAATCGTCAGACAACATAAAACATCATTATGCAGAGAAATAAAATCTCATGGAGACAAGACAACCGGAACGTTCTTATTTACTTCATTAGATATTAATTATTATGCCAAATAAAAAAGGGATTTGAGCGCCGCCTTTCCTTCTGGATCTTATTTGTCATATTTTACCACAAAGTATCGAAGGCTCTCGAATTTCAGACACAATGAGACAAGCATTGGTAGTAGGAACAAACTCTGAATATGTATTCTGACAAAGAACATTATTATCTATTTCTTGTTAATATATACAACACGTATAATTTTGATCGTTCACTCTACCAACGGAGTACTGTAAGCTTAGATTCATGACTATTGATTGTTAATATAATTGTTGGCATTCTTTGAAAGTGTCATTTATAAATTGGTCTTGTGGATTCGCGCAGGTGGTACTTGTTGTATCCTTAAACTTGTACAATAACCTTAATTATTGTTTTGTTGATTCATTTAAATAAATGATCCGTTGAAAAAATGTATTTGAAAACTGTGTGTAAATACGGATTTTTATATAAATCCGTGGTGCAAAACACTTTAAATTTGCTTTTCACAAATTCTAACAAAATAACATACTGTTCTTATCAGAAATCGTTTACCCTTTACCTTCCGGAGAAGTTGGTGATGACTGTTAAGTTAACCAGGAAAGTCACCGCCGAGATATGACCTGATACATCACCTTAAATCGACATTTAAACAATAGTCAAAACATTACGAAGGCCATATGCACGGATAAACAGATCTATATACACCGTAAGTTAGTTATCCAAGAGATGCAATCAAAATTATCGCTTACTTAAATCACTGATTCTGGAACAGCAGTCAAAACGATTTTTGTTTACCACGACACTTCGAAAGGAATCGTCTGTTTTAAAGAAACTGCCTAATGGTTGGGATGTGTGTCTGCCTCTTAACCCTGGGATCATTGGTTCGAGCTCTGATCACGACCATGGTTCTTTATATGATAACAGTACTAGTTGATTCGAGGAAGCGGACACGATTGTGATTGATATAAGGTACAAGAACTTGTTTCGCAATCGAGCTTAAATAAATATGATTTAGCTAAAAAGAATACTTGAAATCAGAAGACCTGATTTATTTATCAACCGTCTGCGACAATTAACCACTAATTAAATGTCAATTAATTGTCAATGTTTAAACCATTTTGTCTAGATCGCAGTCGAGTGCATAAGTTTCGGAAATGTTTGAAACTTTAATGTTGAATTCATGCTCAAAATTACACTTTTAGTAAAGATACTTTGCTTATTAAATGTTATTATAAAGATGTATCGGAATATACCTACGAGTTAATATATATACATTTCAATGCCTTAGCTAGGATTTAAGACAAATTTTAACAATTTTCCTTCATATATTGCTTACATTTGCTTGCACATGAATAAGCAGTGTTTATATCAATGAAATAGGTTAAGGCAAATAAAAGAACTTTATTAAAAACATTTCTTTTCTCTTTTGTAAAGTCATTTTTCCTAATCAATAATTTCATGTCCGCATATATTACATCCGATATCAGATCTATTTCAGACAACATATGTTTATTTTTGTTAACATTTTCAGTGTGATTTACATCAATCAACAATTGTTTTTTTCAATTCTAAAGCGCCGAATTCATATCCTTTAAAGTTTAAACCCTTGAATTGGGTCCAATCTTAGCAAATATTTTCATTGAAATGATTAATAGACAAAACCTTATTATACTAAAGAAGGCAGGAATCTTCGGCAATTGTGTTGGACTTCCGTTTTCACTTTAAGGAAGATAAGAATAATAATCATGCTAATAAGAGTATTTTTATGGTTTATTTAAATCATTTATGGTGTATGCTACTTAACAAAACACTTACAACGAAACATCTATTCAGTATTTGACTCAAATTACGTTCACAGTTTTTGGTATAAATAACCGCAAGTATCTAATGTAAATCATCATCAGTTTCATCACGGACTTTAAATGACTTGGTTTCATACATTTCTTATCATTGTTTCTTATGTTTAAAAGAAGAGAAAAAAGCTGCTCGATCATCCTCTCTTATCTCTTATAAGGAAGACGCCAAAAACTAATTTAAATGCGGTGAACAATCGTAATGTCATAATTTGGCTATCGTGTCTTGTCATTAAGATTAACGGATAACGCAATTATACCTCAATGCCAAAGACATGTCTCACACGACGTGCGATAATAGGCTGGCTAGAACCCAGTATTTATTATCCTTAAACTATACGAGCATATCAGCAATGTCTTTATATAAATAAGACATCGAGTCAAATTCTTGGCAAAATAATTGGTGAGCGTTTACTTCAGCATTTACTTCAGCTTAATGATATGTGTCATGTGTTGTAATCCGGATCGGAATAACCGTCCCGAGTGGACCCACTCATCGGGCGGGTTCCAGAGGGACAGCTTTTTTTATTTAAACCTCAAACATATTTTAAATATTTGTGTCTTGCATATAATAATATACTCCACCATATTCTATTTTCTTGTTATGTCATTTTATCCATAAATATTTTCTTACAACAACGTATGCAATTACAACTTCATTCATAACGGCGAAATAACATCATCCTAGGCACAGTTGCATTATTAAATAATGCCAAAATTGATACAACGCGCTAAAATGACGTCAATTTAAAGCACGCGATTGATCTGACATGTGTAAAACGTACAAAATACCAGTCCGATATAAAATAATACCCGTACTGTAACAGAAAAAAACAAGCACTTTTACGGACGTAATGGAATATCCGTGTCGCAACACTTTTCCTTTAACTTGCGCATTCGTTTGTGATGCATTTCATTTGGCACTGATCAATGTAAACTATGCAATGCATAGCTCTAGTGATACACCATTCGTTTGCTGTCATTTTGCATTAGCGTATAATCTTGCGTGTAAGCTTCGTTTATAACAAAAAAACTCCGATGAAATATTGTTAACCTAATTAAGTCACAGTAATTTAAAAAAATACACTTGTTCTAAAGAAAATACTTGTTTGTAAAGTTTGTAAAAACGATGAAAAAGATCCATCTTGAGTATAAATATATATTTGCAGCATGGTAATTAATAATCAAAATTATGTAACTTTACATTCATTTTCTATCGTTTCAATACAAATACAAAAATGTAGACGCTGAACCTTACTATTATACTTCAAAAACAAATATATATAAGTAAATAGTCATATACAAAAGGAATTCTGAAACCGTTTCTTAGAATCTCATTAAGAATTGTTGAATATTGTGAAACACGTAGCTGATGAAATCTAAGGAACATTTCTAGCTTATCTTACTAAAACATCTGACATATGGACTTCTCACAGGCAATATTTTTTTATGCTATTGAAATAATACGTTAATTCAATACATGTTGAAATCTTTGTTTGTTAAGGATTTCAGCTGATCTAAACCCTTGTCAAGTCTGACCGTAGTATATGAACCCTTTTTACTCATATTTTCTCCCATAACCATTGAAATCAAATGGACTTCTTCTCCATATTTGTCCGGATTCTCAGCACACACTATGGCTCCACTGTCGCCTTCCTGGCAGAAAGCATTGCCTTCCTCTCTATCTTCTACAATAATGTAGTTTTCATCCAAATTGTCGTTTTGAACTGCGATTTGCTCCGGGACAGAAATTGTTCCAAGGCCTAGTTCGGTTTTAGCTCCTTTAATGTGAACTGGTAAACACATAAGCTTCTTAGCATCATAAGAGAAAAGTTTTCCTTGGACAGATTCATTCTTTTCAGTAACGTATGTTTTATCGGATGATATGTTATCATCCAGTGATGCAGCAGCGATATCAAGGTATTCTTTATTTGTCTCATCGTCCTTAACTTCCTTCATAATCTCGCCGATATACATATTTTCTTGCTTTGCTACGTACAGTTTCCTGTCAAAACTGCTCTTAGCAAAATGTCTAGATAGGATGGCCCAATCACGCTTTGATTCTCCTGAAGACGTATAAGCAAATCCGCCGAGTGTACCAGTATAAAATTCATTTTTGACATATTCGACTCTTACCCCTTGACCTACATTACACGTTGAAAACTCCTGTATAACCGAGGGTACTACAGAGTATTTTGTTATATTATGTTTTTCCATTACATGTCCGATACTGTGTTTTAGATCATCGGATGTCGTTTTGACATTGACATTTACATGAAGTGTACTGTAACGATATCCACAACTTGTTATCGAATTACTCAGCTCCTGTAACTCTTGCAATATCTGTAAGACAAAGCAAATCGTTGTAACATGAATTAACTACCCTTTTTTGCTTTAACAAAATATTTATACTTGTAGTGTTATAATGAATATCTATACACAAGCTAAAGTTGCATTTCAAAGAGTGCTGTGATAACGTTTCTTTCGAATATTGAAAATGGATTTTAACTTAACAATTTGTTACTAACTGAAAGGTAGACTACAAACCGTTTTATCAATCTTGTACAAGCATTCAGAATGACTCGGCTTTTCATCTTCCGGAAGAATGCTTCTGTTAAACAATCCAACAAATTCGTAATACAGGCGCTCAATCAACTCTGAGTCTGTATCTGAAAGTTCGACAGGAGTTCCGCTTTTTGGACTTTTGATCTTTCCTAAAAAATACCGAACACGAAAATCGTTAAACCATTTGTGATTTTTATGATATACTTTACGCATTACACGAACATATCTTCATCCTAAAATAGCAAACAAATATACAAGTTGAATTTTATAAGCGTGCATTACATTTACAGTGATCGATCATTTAAGTTGAATTGTATAGGGTTGTTTGGTGGCTTATTTGGTACATTGCGCGTTACGTTGTCGATTCCGACAACGCAACCTATATCATTATCGCCTTGAAGTGCTCTAATTATCGCATGAGAGACAAGAGAAATTTAATACATGCGAACTTTATTCAAAATTTTGCTCTGTAGAGGCGATAATTATCGCGTGTTTAAATTTCGCTAGTCTCCAATGCGATAATTAGCGCCCTTCACGCGCCTTTTCCTATTTCGCTAGTTTATGTTTCCCTGTTCTCAAGAAAAGGCGTTTGAGAGACTAGCGCAATCTAAGACATGCGAAATTTAGAACTCAATTTCGCCCTTTTGACGCGATTATTATCGCGTGTAACTAGCAAAATCTTGTGGACGAAATTGGACACCGTAGTGCTATTATCTATGGATAAGTATCGTGATATATAATTAAACTTAGAATAGCAAAGATTTAATTCAGATATATAGTTTGTACCTTGTTTCCCTTTTACACATGGTATTTGTTCAGTCGTTACCGACAGGTGTCGGTAAGCCTGTCTCGGTGAATCTTTGACTGAAATATTATTAACATAACATGAATAAAGAAATGACCTTTGTACAAGGATGTTAGTAAACGTGAACATAAATTACTATCGATGTATAAAAGTGCTGTTTTCAGACGTATATTTATAATGATTAATAATAATTTAGAATAACTTGTACAACACAGTCAAGAATGAAACATTTTACCGCTCGATCCTGCTGATTTTGACCGTTGTTTCGTTGATTCGACGTTTTCAGAATTCACAGATGGTTCTCCTTAAAAATATATATACGAGTATAAATAGGTGTTATTTTACCTCTGTATATAACATTAATAACTTATTCAATTGAACTTCCTATTGAAGAGTAATTAATACATAGTTTCTGTATTAAAGACTTACATTGTCGACATCATAGAAACATTGATTTCATTCTTTTTCTTATATAAATCGCCTTTTAATTTGATAACTAGTTAAAGCATTAGACCGTTTATTATAACATCAATTTCTGTTTTATTATTGAAAACGAAATTTTGACGTCTGCAAATATTCTTTTCTTTCATTTCGAAACGTTATAGACAATTAAATTATTCAAAAAATGTTACAAAAAGGCTTCTGGCTATTGAATCAACATCTTGCAGAACAAATCAAATTTTAATTGTTGACAAAAAGAATCAAAAACACTTGCACAATAGTTGCACTTAAGTGTGTGATTTACCTGTGTTACTTATACCTTCGGTAGTATTACCAGTAAGAATAACATAAAGTTTGTCACATGCAACTCTTATTCCTGCAAGAGCATGTCTCTCTAATTGAGTCGATAAAGCAGCGCCAACATCTTCCTCAAGACAAACCACAGTACGTTTTTGGCTTCCTAACATGTTTGATATAACTTTTGTCAAGTTGTTATCCGTTCCTATAAAAATAGTACGCTGGGAAAACCTTTCTTATTTTGTTAGCATATCTTTAAAGAAAATGCAGTAGGCATTTTTGAAGAATTTAGAATCTCTTTTCAAGGATTCAATTTTATATTCTTTTTGATTAACTGTGTCCCAATTTCTCGGAATAATTGATTTGATATCTATGAATTGGTCGGTGGATTCTTCTGATTTGCACATAAATATGCGTATATTGTCATCATTAACATCTAACAGTGGTTCACAATCTTCTAATATTTTGATCTTATTTAAACAGTTATACCGCTTGGCCAAATCTTTTCTTATCTTCAACATGTACTGATATCGTGGGAAACATGCTGCTGGTACACTAGCTTCTCTCACATCCATCGCTGGAAACTGTTATTTGGCAACAAATGTTTCCTATCTAAACAAATACAAGTGTAATATTATAATTGTGAATATGATATCAAATAATGTAACTATGTTACGTATTCTAACACTATCGGAGATTTCCTTTATATACACAAAGAAAGGCAGTAAGCGTGATATATTCTACAACAAATAAACTCGCCGTTAATTCTTATTTCCTCCCTCCGTATTTTCAAACACATTGGCGGCGCCATTTCTTTTAAAAATCTGATAAATAAAAGAATAACAACTTTGTTGCATTTTCTCTGAAAACTATCTAGAATGAAAATGTCTAAGAAAATTAATCCGGATACCAATATCTTTAATTCAGTGATTAACGCTGTGCAGACATTTGAAGTGTTGTTAACATGACGTTACAACGTAGCGGCAATTTTGCAAAACGGTTAAAATCACTTTTATGTCACTAAAAGGAAATAAAAAATAAACAAAATAAAATAATAAAATAAACACATAAAGCTTTATCAACAATTTAAAAAATGTTTGTGCAAATGGTTGACTGAAATAGCCTTTAAAAAACGTTGCTATCAGAAACTGAGGCAAAAAACTAATTTCACCACCAAAAATGTAGTCCAAGTATAATTTTTCTTGACGTGCTAGAAATGGAAATAGATCTTGATTTTGATTGATCTGTATTAAACATATAGCACGGCATATCGTTGAGATGTTTGTAATTAATCACTCAAGCCTACTGCGCATCTGAAATCCATACCGTGCTATTGTATAACAAAGATCTCTCAAAAGCAATATATATTTCCTAAGTCACTGTAATACTGTTAAGGAAGTTATTTTCATTAATCCTTCTGATATGCTTATTCTTACGGTAATAGTTTTCTACTTTATTATCATAGCAAATCTTATGTTACCAAATTTGAATGACTTAATCAAGACGAATGACATTTACAAATGTTAACATAAAATGTTACAATCTTGTCGTATAATACTAAGTAAATACTCAATTCATGAACTGTTTAATTTATTTCTGCTTCTGAGTTTATATAAACAAAACATTCCCTTCTTTCAATATACTAGTACATGTATCCTCAAACATCATACATATCAAAAAGTAATGACTGTGTGTTCGCAGTGATAAAACACACAAAGGAATCTAAAGGATAGGCAAATATGTCTGCACCAAGCAGATGTCAATGGCTTTTAGTATTTGAAAAAGAGAAAAACAGAATCCCTAAAAAAGCCCCACAAACAGCCCAAAAGGTTTTTACTACTGATGAAACATGTAAATTGTATATCACATAGATGTTTCAGTTATAGGGCCTTTTAAAATAGTTCAACAAAAGTTTGCCAGATATACTGCAAAGATGTCCTCATTCAGGAGAAAACTGTAGTATTAGACCGCAAGATTAAACAAAGTTTTAATTAAACGCAACACGTCAATATGAAAAAAATGAACAATTACATTAAATTGAAATAAATATACAATGTATATATAAAAAAACGAGAACAAAGATCAACAAGACAAAGGCTACGTTCACATGGCACACAGAAGGCACAAGACCAATAATAATTGTAAGATTCTGTGATAAATATCAATGTTATTCGTTTTTATACCTTTTTACGACGCGGGCCGTTGCTAAGAAAGATTGTCTCGCGCATGCGCAATCTGCGTAGGGCAAAAAGAACATCGTCCTACATAGAAGTTCATAGTAGGAGAAGTTCATAGACAATGTCGATTAAGTTATACCATAGATCCTACTTAATATAAATCCGTGGTTTAAGTTCATATAAAATAGCTTTTAACAAAATCTCAAAAGATGCCTTTATAGCTTTGTGACAAAGATGGCCATGAAAAAGCATGTGAAAAACAATTGTTTAAGAAACCTCTACGGTCACGGACCTGGCATTGAGTTAATTGTTGTAAAAAATATGGAATTATATCTTCATGTAAACAAAGAAGTCAATTGAATTGTTGTTGAAATAGTTCATACATGTATAAAAACTAAATGAATTTTGTAACATATGAAATCGAGGTTAATTATCTATATGAAAAAAGTGAAAACACGTGATAAAATATTTTCAGTTACCTGATTTTATCCTTTATCCGGTTTGACTGTGATGCAAAACATAAAAAAAAATTGTTTAAGTCACATTTTAAATATATTTAAATAATTTTTCAAACTCGTTGAGAAGTTTAGACGGATAGTCAAATAACACGCATTTTATGCGGTGCCTCGCAACACATGTAAATGTAAGTCACACTATTTGTCACTTCACAAAATTCATAAATATTGATGAGGTTGGTATAGACGAATTGTTGTAAAAAAAAATGACCGGATGTAGTATTTTCTCACGCATGCGTAATCCGCAAAGAGCACAGATTTTTGCTTTTCATAGACATGATAGAAATGCAATAGACAATATTCTGAGTAAACTGTCGCTTAAAAGTGATTGATATATTAAATACCTTTAAAAAATAACAGCAAAAGATGCCTTTATAGCTTAGCTTATCCTTAGCTTAGGGTAACTTCAAAAAGCAATGAGGAATATGATATTTGTTCAGCCCTTTGCGACCACGTCGGACTTGAAAATCATTGAGATATTTGATGTAAAAAATTGGAAATAATTTTTTTTATCAAGAAAAATGTCTGCTTTATTCTCCTTAAAGTTTTTGAAACAAAACAAAACTAAAAAGATTTATATATCACATGAAATCAAAGTTAATTATAATTCTGGAAATAGGTCAGAACTTGGGATAATGCATGTTCATTAAAATATTTCTAGTATTCAGTTAACCTTATTTAATCTTTGAATTTGTTGAATACTAAATAAAATCTATTATTTTGTAACTGCTCTTTGTCCTAAGCAAAATACGCATGCGCGAAATGCTACATACGTTTCTATTGAAAAGAAATGGAAATACCGTAGTGCAGGTCTATAATGAAGTTTTGTACTACAACTCAAAAAAATGGTGTACGGTTGTTCGAAAAGTTGTTTGTCAACCCTTTTGCGTCTTTATTTTGTTGTATGAATTTTGTATCAAAATAAGAACAATATATTGCCATAAGAAATAAACACCACTTTAATGTTTGCTTTCAAATTCCGACGTTCTACGTTCTGTGGTTTCTACATTAACGTTTAGAAGGTTTCGTAGGAGCACGTTATTTTGGGTTCCTTATTTTTAACTTTGTCATATCAAATAACCGCAACCGACGAATGCTACATAATTGTGTATGCTTTAATGTCAGTAAAATATAAAACATCACTGTGACAGTTATTTGAATTACACAAGAGAAAGCCAGTTTATTGAAACACCGCTTGGAATTGTCACCGTTCGGAACTGTTCACTATTTGGTGGAGAAGATGTGTAAGCGGCCGGATAGCTCAGACGGTAAAGCCGTATTCCGAGGGTCCCGGGTTCGAGTCCCGGTCAGGCTGCACATGTTTCTCACCCTTTGACATTTGGCGCCAAACGGGGGACCGTGACTGAATATAGATCAGAGTTTGATTTAAATTGCTCTGTATCTCTGTGAAATTCGTGGACAAATTTCATTGGAGCAGGGGAGTATGTCACGGCTCGGAACTGTTCATATTTGGGGGAGAAGATGTGTAAGCGGCCGGATAGCTCAGTCGATAGAGCTGCGGTACGGTTTTCCGAGGGTCCCGGGTTCGAATTCCGGTCAGGCTGTACATTTCTCTCACCCTGTGACTGAATTCAAATCATGTTTTGTGTAAACCTTTGAAATGCACACGCAGACGTTTGATCTCCTTCAGCTAGCAAACCATAAATAATCGGTCAGCAGACCTTTGGTTTCCTCTTCCTAAATTATTGCAAAAGTGATGTCCAGCAAAAACAAAGAACCGGTCGTCCATCCCTTATCGACAGTTAAATCAAGAATACCATAGATACTGACCGTCGGATAACTTCTGCGCGTCTCGTAACACGCTTGGCAAACTGTCGCTCCACTTCAAAATTGTGGTGTACGGTAAAACGAGCGAACGGCATTTCCGAGATAGAGCGGAAGGCCGATTTAAACGGCTAATTGTAAGTATTGTTTATGTTTTTGTCTTGTTATTCATTTAAGTTGTATCTTTTCGAAAAACGGAAAATGTAGTTCCGTGTAGGATTGGTTTAGGCTTCCAATTATACAATCTGTTACAAAAAGAATATTATATTAAGCCCGGGAGAACTTTTCTCCCTGACGAAGCGAACGACGATTTGTAGAGTATTGAATTTCCCAACCATAAAAATGCCATACCCTTCGGATTTCTTGAAAAAGTGTATTAGTAAAATATCAACCCGTAATAAGAACTTGTCCTTCGTGCAAAATAAATTACTTCCGAAGGATTTCTTAAATTTGTAAATCGATATTTTACAAAGGTAGTGGAGCCAAAGGGCAAGAGATGGAGCAAAAGGTTCGATGTTGAGCGCAAGCGATATTAATTTGACGTTTTAAGAGGAGCGTAGTCTATGATTTCTATATATAAAAGCTATAGAAGTTAAAATAGACATGATCAAGTGTTGAGACCGAGATATATATTTGCCTTTTAAAGACAACTAATAAAGTGTGATATCCTTTCAACAACTATAGCGTAATGAATGTTATCGCGAAGCTGTCACCTATGGCTGCCGTATAGATTCCATTATTTAAGTTCCAAATTTGGATGATGCCAGACCATTGAATCATACACATGTATGCATGGCGTAATATAGGATGCCACTTATTCGAGGTCAATCATGATTTTTTAGCACGGTTATGCACATTTAAAAACGTGTGTCCGTGCAAATTCGACAAAATCGAATATTTTCAGTTCTACAGCGAACAAATGTTTACGAGCAGGTACGTGTAACGCGATTGTTCACGCCAAAATATTATGTTTTTCGAAAAGTTAGATATTCAAGGTGCAGAACAGAAACAAAATTATGCAATGCACGGGACACATTAAATTAAATGGATCACTACTACCGAGTTCAGTTCACAATGACTTTCTGTCATTAATACTAAGTCTAACGTACATCTTCAGAGCAAACACAAATAAGCCACGTTTTCATGAATTTGTAAGGTGGGGAATTGCTATGAAAATTCTTGACAATGTGTCAGTCGTTATAAGGATATAACACGTGTTACAGTTATGTTTCAAGATACATCCTCCATTATTTAGCATTGTTGTTTAGTTTATTATTTTCCATTCAAAGTGTAAATAGAAATTTATTTCTACTATACAACTAGGTCTATCAATTATTGATAATTTTAGTCCGTACACCACTGAGCTCTGCCTTTTTACTAGTTCGTTTTCTTCATAGATTCTCTTTGAATAAACAAACAAAATTTTACAGATTTTCATTTTAACTTATTTTTTTTAAACCAAGATTTGTAGTGCAGTGTTTGATTATAAAAGTAAACATTTCTATTTACACTTTGAGGGGAAAATAATTAACTAAACAACAATGCTAAATTATGGAGGATGTATCTTGAAACATAACTGAAACACGTGTTATATCCTTATAACCACTGACACTTTGTCAAGAATTTTCACAGCGATTCCCCACCTTACAAATTCATGAAAACGTGGCTTATTTGTATTTGCTCTAAACATGTTAGTTAGAACTATTAATTACAGAAAGTCATTGTGAACTGGACTCGGTAGTAGTGATCCATTTAATTTAATGTGTCCCGTGCATTGCATAATTTTGTTTCTGTTCTGCACCTTTTAATATCTAACTTTTCGAAAAACATAACATTTTGGCGTGAACAATCGCGTTACACGTACCTGCTCGTAAACATTTGTTCGCGGTAGAACTGAAAATATTCGATTTTGTCGAATTTGCACGGACACACGTTTTTAAATGCGCATAACCATGTCAAAAATCATGATTGACCTCGAATAAGTTGCATCCTGTTTTATGCCATGCATACATGTGTATGATTCAAAAGTCGGGCCTCATCAAAATTTGGAACATATATTATGGAATCTACATAGCGCAGCTATGGGTGACACCTTCGCGATTATATTTATAAAGCTATAGTTGTTGAATGGATATCACACTTTATTAGTTGTCTTTAAAAGGCAAATATATATCTCGGTCTCAACACTTGATCATGTCTATTTTAACTTCTATAGCTTTTATATATAAAAATCATAGACTACTCTCCTCTTAATACGTCATATTAATATCGCCTTGCGCTCAACATCGAACCTTTTGCTCCATCTCTTGCCCTTTGGCTCCACTACTTTCGTAAAATATCGATTTACAAATTTTAGAAATCCTTCGGAAGTAATTTATTTTGCACGAAGGACAAGTTCTTATTACGGGTTGATATTTTACTAATACACTTTTTCAAGAAATCTGAAGGGTATGGCATTATTATAGTTAAGAAGTTCCATACTCTACAAATCGTCGTTCGCTTCGTCAGGGTGAAAAGTTCTCCCGGGCTTAATATAATTTTCTTTTTGTAACAGATTAGATAATTGGAAGCCTAAATCAATCCTACACGGAACTACATTTTCCGTTTTTCGAAAAAATACAACTTAAATGAATAACAAGACAAAAACATAAACAATACTTACAATTAGCCGTTTAAATCGGCCTTCCGCTCTATCTCGGAAATGCCGTTCGCTCGTTTTACCGTACACCACAATTTTGAAGTGGAGCGACAGTTTGCCGGGCGTGCGTAAGTTCCTGTGATAATTGGACGGCGACAGCAATAGAATACTTGAGGAATACTTAGTCAAGATAGAAATACATTGACACACAAATATTCAAGGTTTTACCGCTTTAACGCAAAAAAGAAAGTGCAGTAGTCCGTGTGGAAACGCTCGTCATCACCACCGTCGACGAAGGCACGTGGTTTAAAATATGTTGATACACATTTAATTAATGGTCCGCAGTGGCGTGCTGCTGAGCCATGCCATTCCGACGTTAACAATTATTAATAAATAAGTCTAACCCATATGAATACATATTAAACTACTTAAAGTTTCTTTTATTACAAATAGTTGTATAGACATTGTAAAAAACCTTCTAAATTAACAAATCACCTGTATATTTTGTTAGTTAGCTAATGCAGAGAATCATATTGCTGCAATTTTAGCCCATTCGATGCGATCTTCATAAGGCCATAAAGTCTTAGAGGGAAACAAAGAAAACATATTCCTTAACAAGTACAATGCTACCAGCACAAGACTGAATCAATGCTTGAAATATGTTCAAATTGTTCACCTTTACTGGAACACCTTCTGTATTCGCCAATTCGCAAAATCTTACACACGTTGACCTTCGGTGTTTCCTGCTAATAACACCTGCATGGTATAAATACATTACAAAAATAACGGTCAGCATCCTATCTTATAGAGACAATATGTTGTATGAAAATGTTTAAAATAAATGTTTGTATGGTCATTTTAAATTGTGTGCGTGTTAAGGGGAGCTCGAGACCCATTGCAAAAGGAATAACACGCGACGCAGGTAGCGTTATTTGGTATTGTAAAAAGAATAATGTGGACGTCATTGCGCGCTCTGGTGAGAAATAAATGTATATTTCTAATTCTTTGTTTTATGTTTTAATTTTGAATGTAATGACAATTTGCAAAAGACGAGAATTAATTAACAATAGTGTCAACAGTTCAAAACGCACGCATTAAAATCACAAAAGTTATAGTGTTTGCTCAACCCTTATATATTCATATAATGAGCATTAGGCGAATAAGTAATTTTATAAACGTCTTTGGTTTGTTGCCGTCACATCTGACGTCATATGACATGTTTACAATAAGCACGAAAGTTCACAATCTGATTATTACGGTAAAGCGTGTTGGATTAATCGTAAATTTTCTAGGAACCGTATAGAAAATATATTTAAAAATCATACAAATAAGATATGAAAGGTTATATATCTTGGAATTCGGTTTTAATGTATAATTACACAAAGAAATGACTACTAATGAAACACTATCAAACTAATATCAAAGTCCATAAAACTAAAGAATAATAAGATAAGTTAAGGATGATTTTAAAGTTTATTTTTTAGACACTGAAATGAATGGCAAAAGCACGATATCTTTCATATTGAATAAACAAAAAGAACAAAGTAAAATAATCGATCTTTCTTAATATAAAATACTTACATATTTATTTTTTTATCATCCGTCCACTAGTTTTTTGTCGTTGTTTAAACCCTTATCTTCGAAATCATTTTAACTTCAAGTCAATATTAAAACTTCATTAAAAACGTTGTCTGGTTGACAGGGGGTCGAACGTAAAGAGGTGCGATATTTTTAAAGCGAGGTGAAATGGTGCGATACTGAATAACAGCAAAGAAAAAGTGACAAATCCAGTTTGCTTCAAATATGTGTTGTATGTTGTAGTTCTAGTTCGAATAGTATAGTGCATGCTGAGCGGAAGATATATTTGTAGATGGTGGTCAAAATAAAAGAATCTATTCCATTGTAAGGAGAAAGTTATTGAGGCATTTGTTACTTCAAATGTCATCGGCAATCTGACATTCTTATCAAAAATACAATAGCAGACGTTATGGAACAGATATTTGAAAATTATAGCAACAACATGTTTACTATAAAAAGCAAAACAAAATACACCAACAGTTTTAACTACTAGTACCTATTTCGCAAATATCTACAATATTTCTGATTTTCTCATTGTACAGATAAATATCTGTTCTGTACGCATTGGCAATTAGTTACTAGTATGGGGAAAAACTGTTTCTTTTAGTTAACAGTTAACTATATCCTACTTAAATTACGCATATGGTCAAACCATTTGAAAATGAAAGGACAGTTCTAATTTCATGTACTGATACAGTGAAACTTAGAAGACCATCTAAATGGACATGTGTTTTCTTTTCAGTAACATAGTTGTGGTGTGCGTTTGTGTGACAAAAATAGCTAATTTCTAGATACAGCTTTATATGGAAGATTGTGGAATGTGTATGACATGTCCAATTTAACGAAGGATCCGATAGATACACATGACAGTGCATATTCACTGTCGGGTACGTGTAACGGTGCAGATTTTCCGTGATACGGTGCTTCCATCCAATATGGAGGAATGTAAATAACCAAAAGGTACGTGTCATTTTATTTTCTATGTATTTAGACAGATCCGTTTTATATTGTAAAAGAAGAATATTTGCAGGTAACGAAAAAATAATTTCACTATAAGATCAATAAGTTCACATTGTATGTTTAATATGATATATATTTTTTTTTTCAAAAAAAAACTTGTGTAAATAAATGTACATGAAATTTGATCCGAGAGAAGTGGTAATTTTTTGAGTCAATCTCCGTACAAGAGACACTTACATTGAAGTGAATACTCTTGTTTATTACAGTAAATGTATAAAATCATCTGTGCAATTTCAACATTTGTTCTGTCAATTTGTTTTGTCGAAATTTGTCTACTTTCTGTTTCGTATCGACAACGGTGCAGACACTAAACAACGGCGAGGACTTTCCGTAACCGTTTCTAGGTGTCTGGACCGTTGTCGAGACAAAAAAGAAAGTAGACTAGTTCGTCAAAACAAATTGACAGAACAAATGTTGAAATTGCACAATTTTTTGTTTATTTATGAAAGGGGACGGAATCATGTGAGTACTTCCAAGTGTTTACAAGCAAGGTAAATGCCACCAGTAATCCCTCCACAACCTCCCCCCCCCCGAAAAATATTTATGGTAAACATTTTAAGTATAGCTATGAGCACTGTCAAATTATCAGACCTTGGGTTGCGGACAGTCATCTTATCGCACCAAAACCGTCGTACACATAAATATTTTGACAACAATGCGTACATACATATCTTAGCACAGTAGTGCTTGCTATGCAGCTCAATAATAAGAATTTACGTAACTTGAAAGTAGAAAAAGCAACTAACATTCGCGATTATAACTTTGTCACGGACACAAAATCAGTTAATGCCAATTCAACTTCAATAACTTAAAATTTATACTATTGTACTAAAACTTCTTTATTTTCGATGAAATACATGTAGGACTGAGCACCACATCCTCCACACAATATTTGCAATTTTAATAGTCAAGGAAAGTTACATTTTTTATTAGATATACTAACTCTGATGTATGTTGACAGTCAAAAATTCGCCATTATTCCGTATCGCACCATTTCACCTCGCTTAAAAAACTATCGTTCCGCTATACGTTCAACCGTTATACATAGATTAAGATACTTATGTAAATATACGTAAATATCGATTTAAGGTTAACCTTTCCTTATCTATAAGCAACGAATTCCATGCAACATCGGTGCGACAATTTGAAATCAATCTTTATAAACTGATAATATTCATTCAATTTGTTTGATCTGTTGGCAATTTTGTTGGCACACAAATAAAGTAGTAGTCATTCGGTACAAAATGACAAAGAAATGAAACCAAACTCTAACAGGAAGTTTTAATTCTAACACACCACGTTATTTGATTGGTCACTAAAGACAAAGAAGGGAAAAAACGGTGTTAAACTGCCAATAAACACTGGTTTGGGACTAGTTGTATATGCGGCTGTTATGTTTTTCACCTTCGATTATATATTTTAAAAGGCGTTTTTAAGCAACAATAAAAAGCTTTTTTATTTATGTTTTCAGTTCTTATAATGTTTTCTTTTCATACAATACCGAAATGATATGTCACAAACACTAACCACATATTTGATTCATATCAGTTAATAAATATTTTGACAAAACGGCGCCAATCCGTAAGCAGCTTAATGACATCATCCTAAGTAAACAACTCATTCATAAACAGGCTGGCGTTATTTCATACATACAATAATGATAAATGAGGCACTGATGTAAACACAATACGACGTAAATTTTGTGTTGTTGAAAACTTGATAAAATAACGTTTTTCCTTATTATTTCTTTTGTTCAATAATTTCTATATCTTCGCAATAGTAGGGTGAGAAAATCAAACAGCGTTATACAAAAATCGGCACCGGAAGTTATTTCCACTTGAAAAAAAAAACATTAGTAATCTTCCTTATTTTATCGTGTTGTCGTTTTGATACGAGAAAATTAACCACTCAGGCTTACGGCCTTCGTGGTCAATTCCTACGCATCAAAACTCTAAACCGGTGTTAAATAGCCGATATACACCTCTCAGGCCGATGCTTTTTCTTAAATATTTAAGCCCCCCTTGTCAAGCCAACATTTTGTAAAACAAGTAAATACATTCCAAAAAATATCAAATGGATGAAAGAAACAAGTTTTCCATTTGGCAAGAATCTCATTTGCAATACCCAACAACAACGGAAATTCATATAAGCTGTTTTTTGTTCACTTAGTACTTAACTTTTCTAGATTATATGTAGTTGATTAATAAAATTGTCAATAATTAAGTGTTTTCACAATGGTCTTGTTACTGGCCTTTGGCCTCAGGCTAAAATGACAGTCTTCAGCCCAATAACAATGACATTATGTTATATTATATAATTATTAAAATTATAATGATAAATAAAAATATCATTAAACTATATATACACAAATGTATAGTATTAAATAAAGAATTTTAACAGGCACTTGCAGCTTACATGAAATTTACCATTATTTAGGCAAGACAAAACCACTTTGTGCTAGAGATATATTCATGTTCAAGTTTGAATAGTTTTGCATTTGTTGTATCGCTGAGACCTCTGTAGCCATAACGTAAATTTGACAACATTACTGTTGTAATTCATTAAAGCTGATCTCTGAGAATTGTCCTTTGGTGGGAGATTTGATCACAATTAAAAAAGTGACAAGAATCTTCAATCTAACCGCACTTCAATATTTTCCGTTAATTGATCACGACTCACTATCGCACATCTGTCATGGCAGGGGGGGGGGGGGGTACATCAAAATATCGACACGCTGCTTTTACATTTATTTATCATTGGTCTTTAATATAATATGATTTTTCGGTCACTGTGGAAAGCGCAGCTGTATTTCAGCTGTCCACCAAGCGTATCGATGCGTAAGACTGGTCAATATATAAGGTGTATGCACACGGGTATTTGACCATTCGAGGTACTATAGGTTCACTACACACAGACGTAATTACACTATAGCAATGGAAGATAATGAGCAACGTGGCAATAAACACGTTGAATTTAGATCCAGAGAAAGTTTAACTCGTGACAGAGAACAGTATTCGCCTTCGAGAACTTCAAGAAGCAGACGAAGTATTTCACCAGAAGTTGGAAGGAACTCGCCAAGCAGGCAAAGTGAGTTTCAATCGAGAGATAGTCGAGAAGGACAGGAGCGTTCCAGAGATAGACGAGGTAAGTCCTCGGGGAAAGGGAACGAAGTTTTTCAAGCCTTTGATTTATTTAGAAGTTATTTTGATTCTCGTTTGTCTGACTTGAAGAGTGATATAACTTCTCAAAGTTTGAAGTCTAAAGTTAAAAAAGTAACTTTGAATAAAGAGTCGCATAGAATTCAACACGAATTTAACCTTGAAATTCTTGACGGTTTCGAGTCGATTTTGAAGGAGTTGTCTAAATCAGATTTGAAGGCTGATGTTAAAGGTTTGATAAGTAAGATTAAACACAGGAATAAATTGATACAAATAGCAGATAGTTCCCCCGGGGGCTGGTCTACAGTCCGAGAATATGAGAAGCCTTCTCTCGCTAGCGATAGCGATGATGAACAGAAACTCAAGCAGGCCGAATTTAGAGCCATTAAAAAGGTTAAGACAACTTCTTCAAAACAAGCTCATTTTCATCCTTTTAAGAGTGATTCTCTTTCTTTCATGAGT